CGAACAATAAATAATTCGTCAACAAGCAGAGACACATAGCGAAGAGTTCTTCGGGCACACGTCACGCGAGATAGGTTTAGCCCAACGGACCACTGATTCTGAAGGAGTCCAGCGAGGGCCAAATCCACCCCCGCACCAGGACTTTTCAGCACCGCGAAGATAAAAATAAGATAAGAGACAGACGCGCGGAAAAGTTGAGTTTCTGGAGACGATTTTCGGAAACCACGCCTCGCCGCTTCCGCAGGATTTACTGAGGCGGCCAGATGGACCACAGTTACAGGGACGCCCTAGAGACAGCTGTGCGCGCGAGAGAACCATTTCTCTGACGTCGCATTACGCTGTTCGGTGGAGAGGGGAAAATTTGCTGACACAAGACAAACCTGGTCATCGCGCGCCCTACATTTCCGCATTGAGTAGCGGGTGGTTATTTATTTATGGCTTGAGGAAACTGGATTTTAACAGATTCGCGTAAGGCATGCGTCTGGAGCTAAGGAATAATTATGACGCAGATAAGAAATTAGCTTTCTTCAAGATGCATGAGCAGGTTATCCTTTTAAAAAAAAATCTTTCCTCACTACCATAATATTTAGAGTGGTTTTTATGACGGACATTTCGATGTAATAAAACGTTTCTCCCGCCTGGCTTTCATATCTTAGCACCGATTTCATCGCAGTCCCCAGCCTGCCACCGGAGACCGGGCGCCAGCAAGCTATTAGGAAGACATCTTACTGGCAGAACAGACGCGGTCAACGGAGAAACGCAGAGCAGTAGACGACTACTCATCTCGCCGTTGGCTGGTTGCCAACGCAACCCAACTTTATTGTTTATAATTTCCACCCTTTTCAACACAGGCTGTGATAAATGGAGATAGGCCGGATATGCCACGCGGACCGGAAGTTGAAGAATCATACCGTTGGAACCGTAAGCGAAATGTAAGTTCCCATTTACATGTTTCCTTCGTAGGCGCCTGAAAAGTCTTAAAAAAAGAGTTGAGGAAGAATGATTTGTGCTTCCCCCGCGAACAAAAATACGCACTCAAGTCTGAGAAATTGCAATGCGTCATGAAAGTGGATTTTAGGGAACAAACGGCACTGCCTGCGTTCCAAGTTTTGCCACTGACGTGGAAGAGACTTACAAGTTACCTACGAGGAGAATACGCGCCTTGATGTTTATACAGCACAAATATTACAGTGGTCAGAAAAATTAACTTGGGATGAGTATTTTATATGAGATCTCAGCGTCCCACGGCGTGGAAGATGATGATCTGGGTTGGGACGCAGTGTAGAATGCACGGCTGATACCACCGGAGGAACGGCACCTTCCTACAAGTTTACGTGACGTCACAATCCAAAAGAACGTCGTCTGTATATTTCATACATCATGGACTGACAGGATAATTATGAACGATTAACTACGTGGCGAATGCGAACCCGAAACCCCGAAATACGATCCACGGCGCTGTCAGTCGACCGGCAATAATAAGAACCAGTTACTGAAAGTGACTTCACAATTTTCCGATCTGTATGAAGTTTATCAAAGGCGACGTTTTAAGCGTTAAAACCGTTACTGCTACAATGCGCAACTTATCCACCGTGACGTGGGAGGCAGAAGGGTCTAGAAGCAACGGGGCACACGGAATAAGTGATCAAGAGCACACGGACGGATTTACCTTCTCGTCATTGAACACAATTTCAAATCTACTGGATCAAGAATTGACGCAAGTCTGAGTTGTCACGAATAAACGAGGGTTCATGGCCCTATTAACAACAGCCAGGCACCTCTCCTTCGATTTAATTACTGGTAATACGACTGGTATTAAGCCTATAGTCCTTCGGAACCCAAACACGAGTGATTATACACTTTGACAATCGATGTCTGCGCATGCGCGCTATGACTGAATAACCCCGATCCCTTCGAATCATCGAATGCTTTGTACCACTGCGGATCGGTTCAGAGCTTCTTTGACGTTGGGGCGACAGTTGTGGGCGCCTGGCGTGTGCGATTAGTCACGTGATGAAAGGCTCGCGCTGCTGGAACGACATGCTTGTATGAATGCGTTCCTATGAGTGGTCTGAGGAACAGACAGATGGGAGAGACGTGTAGAAAGCTTATGCAGCTTAGTACACTGAATCTGTAGCTTGAAGGAAATATTTCGGTTTCATTAGATTACAAAAAAAAAAAAACCCAGCAGCTTGAGACTGCAACAGGATATGTTTCCGTACGCCATTAAGCGCCAACCTTCACGTAGCCGTAAACATTATTTTCCTCTCGACCGAACGTCACGTACGTGCTAACGAACTGCGTACTTCGCATTCCACTACGCTCTCTGCGTCTGCAAGCCAGCTGTGTTTCACTTCCTAATACACAAACAATGTCGACTACATTTCTTTCAAACGCAACGCAGTGACCAGAAACAAGTCAATTCGCTTCCGAAAACGTCCGCTGACAGACACGCTGCCCACCAGCACGTTAACAAAACAATGTTTATCTTTGTGTTCTCCCGGGCTGTCTCTTGGTGCAGTCTTCAATTTAAACTGCAAACGTATTCCTAAGCAATGAACATTCCTCAACTTACCAGTTCCGCTGACATCCAGCTAACGACCAACCAATGCGCACGATATAACAAATTAATAAAACCGTACACGAGATCCGTGGTATTCCCTGCGATGCTTCGTGTTCTGCAAATAAAACGAGTTCTTATTCGGACACAATTGCAGGCCGGGTTTAAGGGTTCAGACCTCAAACCAAAGCGCTCAGTTTGTCTGTATCCCCCGCCCCCAACAGAGATGGCACCACATGGCCTACATGCAGGATGTACGAAGACCCACCCACAGCTCTTGACAGCCGTCGATTATCCTGACCCTTAAGGATAAGCCCAAAACAATGATATTAAGACGTTACATGAGCCACGCAGAAACTGTAAATGGTATGAAAATTTTCATGTCAGTCGACTGACTGTACTCACCGCATGGAAGGAAAAGAATCCAGTAACCGTGAACGACTGACTTACCTGAAATTAACAAAGAAACAAACATTAATCAACACGTGCACACGGCGTCATTACTCAGAAAACCAACATCAATGAGTAAAACAAACGAATCCACTCGGGCCGTCCATTTAAGCACATGTCATTGGTCCGTGGCATGTCTACTTAACGACAACTGACGCTAACCACCAGACGCAACTGCACTAATGAAGGCGCACGCGGAGTTTCAGTGGCTTGGAAAATGAGCCAGCAGGACGGGCGCGACATGGTCTTGTACACAAATTGGGTTGCAATTGTGAAAGCGATGAACCCTAGTCTGCTGACCGCTCGGGACACAACAGAGCGCGTGCGGACTCTTTGCTGAGGACTGAGAGACCTTATGATCGGGGATCGTGGCTGTTCCTGGGCACGACGACGACGACGACGAGGACTGCGGAGGCGATTTGACGGACTAAAAACAGAATGAAATAAGTGTGATTATACGACAAACCAGTTAAGTTGATCAAGGACCCATTTACCTCTAAAATAATGAATACGGAGACAACGCATGGATTGGCTCTTTGAAGAACGGAGTACATCCAAATGGTATCTAGGAATTCAGTCTGTACCGCAAAGAAAACACTATGCCAAAACAAACATAAATTGGTTAAGGCTGTACAAATATAAAATCAAATTAAATAATAGCTGTTTAAAACGAGAATCATATGAAACTCATAAATATACAGGAGTGGGGGGGGGGGGGAAAGAAACATTCACGAATGTTGAACCAGGTTGCTTTAAGGGGTTAAAGGTAACGAATCTCCAGGTTCCGTAAAAACCAGGTAACATGACTGGCTGAGTGACTATCAGCTTCTCAAGCTGGACAATCATCAGTTTGGGCAGGATCTGAATTACGCGGCGAGATCGTGTTGCCTGTAATCGCCAAAGTACGAACAGGCTACGAGAACAGACTTACGTAGCCCATCAAAACGCGGGTCTGACGTGAACTAAGGAGAGACAAATGCGTAATTGAAATGGAAACGGATTAAATGATTCCGGATGTGGACCAGATCTGTGCTGTTTTTTTTCCCAGCACTCATGCATCCGCGCGTTCGAATAAAAAATGAAGTGACCAAAAGCCACAAACAGAGGATGGAGCGAATTGCTTACCACTTTCTTAAGAGTTTCCCGGCTGAGGGAGCAGTGGACGTCGTCTGGTCCTGTGCTGGACGACTTCTCTCTACGGGGGGTGTAGACGTCAGAACACCAAATTGCAAAGCCTTTTAGCACCAGCGTGCGTTAACATCGCTGGCCTGCACGAGCACGTACAAGAAATAGTACAACGGATTGCTAATTCCAGAGTAATTCACGGAAACAAATGCTCCTAACAGAATTACTGATTTCCCTTGTGAAAATAAAAGAAAAACATTGGAACTCCTTGATGTGTAATGAAATTCCGAAGCTCTTCTGCACGTGAAAACACGGGAAGTGACGTCATCAGTTTGCACCGCGGCTAAAAGCAACAAGGGACTTAGATCACTCTTAATTTAAAGAAATAGATGCTAGGTAATTGTAAACATGTAATCCCAGATCACTCTTATGAGCAAACAATCACATCGGTGCCCACTGTTGTAATGTGGAGGCAGTATGACCTCTGAAACGTCGTAAACTTCCGCCAGACTATACGGTGCTACAACCCAGAAGACAGCCATCTTCATTTAGTCGAAACCTAATTTACTTTCCGCCAACGTAAGACCACGACATCAACTGGTTTTCAACACACAGGCTATTAATTAATCATTACGAAACTTTGAAATTAAAAACAATATCACACTGAGCTGCGTCGCCTCGTTTTCCCGCGCGTGTCTGCTCATTCACTCGATAGGTAGCAGCACCTACTACACACAAGCCGACCATTATTCATTCCATCTCTCTCAGACACATGTTCCCACCTCTCTGAACTCCTAAACCCTAGCTTCTCCCATGTTCCTCATTAGCTCGCACCAGCACGCAACAAGGCTGAGAATTGTCCAATCAGAATCGTTATTGGACCGGTTTCTGCAAGTACTCGTGGGAGGGCGGCACTATCATTATAACAACATTTGTTGGGGCCTCAAGAGAGGACTTTTGAATCACGTCGGTAATATCTTGTGCCACGGCTCGACTGAACTGCACGGAACGCCAGGCAGGGCGTAGGTGGGGCGTAGGAGTCTCCCTCTGCATTCACTGCCTGCAGCTGACGTGGAAAGTGGACAGATACGCAACTGTGCACAGAGAAATATGGGAGGATTTCCTAGAGAGGTAAGATCATCTCCAGCCCTGAAGATGTAGGCAGTATGTTCCCCCTAAACGTTGGCATTACACATTTTCCCCAGCTTACATTTTCTGAAGTTTACATCAACCACACGGGATTTGTAGGCCTGGAAGACTTTCGTAATTTCTTGTCTGTTAAAACGCACGACACTGCGAGGAGGAAATGCAGAATCGCGGCCTGACTAACTTTCATGCGGGACGAGATATTTAACAAATGAATTACTTCATCCAACGCGATCTCGCACGGAACGGGGTCTTATCACAGCTTTACCCCGTTCTGACGTCGTATTTGTGGGTTTTGGTGTCGCGTACACTCGTCTGTATACGCCACCGCTTATTAGAAACACGCCGTCTTCATTTTCAGTGTGATAAAACACAGAATATCTTCATTCCTTCTCCTGTTTGTGTGCGCACACTGATAACCAACACAATTATAATCGATTTAACAAGATCGACAACAGTTATCAAGCATGGGCAATGCTTCGAATCTTACTTCACAGTAAGCAACATTTGTGCTGAACATAAAATTATTTATCTAACCGGAAAACGTCAATCATTCCAGATTATTATCATCATCATCAATGTAATATCATCCGAGTTACGAGCACTAAACGGGGTCAGAATCCCCGGTACCTCACGCCGGAGATCCAGCCTGCATTCCAAAAAATATCGGGGCACTAATCTAGCGCTCACTCCGGGCAGCTGCTCCTATCTCTGTTAAACTTGACAAAATTAAAACTCTGCGCAATTCGCATGTAGCCCGGAGACAGGTGTTTTCTCGGGGCAGTGCGCGTCTCAGACTGGGTCTCGAGGCTTCAAAAGCACGTGAGATGTTTCCTTAGTGATTGATGGCCGGAACTCGGCCAATCCATTAATTGATTATACTGCCGCACCAGACGAAGAATGACGTCACTTGCCCAATAACACTGATAAGATTGATGGAACCTATTTCCAGGAGAGCGAATATTTTTACCCGGGAGTCAGAACAAAAGAGGCGATACGCCCGCTCTTTCTTCAAACACACTTTTCGTGATTACTTCCCACGCGGGAGACGTGCGGCGAGAAAATGCAATTCATCACAATTCTGGGTTTGAATCGGCATATTTTGCAGACTTAGAAACGGCGCTCATTCGGGAAGCGGCTAATTAACGAGGCAGCTTTCGAATCGAGGTCTCAGACCTAGCACATTAGGAAAATCAGAACCACTGACAGTAACTTCTCTACATCTTAACGACTCAAAGCGACTCGAACTGCAACATAATAATTTCTTAAGAAGCTCATTACAGAGTGCAGATTATCACCTCTCGTGCTTTCCCACAAAGATCGCACTGCTTATAAAAAAACAACAGATTTGCTCTCACATTTGCATCGGGTTCAATGTTGCGACGGAGAACAAGCGACTATCAGATACCAAATGAATCGCTCGGATTACTTTACAGAAACAGGCAAAGTGGCAAGTCTGAACGAAGCTCACACATTTACGACAACTATTACGGCCCGCTTACATTCTATTCTATAAAGCAAACTAATTTTATACAGGATAATTAATATTTCCAACAACACCCGATACTGAACTGCGCACTTCAGATTTCTATTAGGCTATTCGTCCATTTACGCGATAAAATAAGAGCACGGAGTGGGCGACATTAAAATGTTAAATGCTCTTGTGTCACGCACACGATGACCACGTACCATAACCGACGAACTAATACGAACACGAAGCGGAAAGCTGACACGGAGGGGGCGGATACGGGATATTAGAGAGACCAAGAAACAGATGACAAGGCTTCAAGACGCCGGTATAAGGGTCTGGTTACATCATTTATGTAGAACGGAGTCGAATAAGACGCCTCTGGTTCCACCGGAAGTTGTTGGATAGCCACACAGCCCAGGACACAAAACGAATCTGTACCGCGCGGAAAACTAACAAATCCAGTGTTTGAATTTGGGGAGGACGCGGGAAATCTGAAGCTACTCGCAAGTGCCGGTAAGAATAAGGAGCAATTTGAAAAGAAATCCGCAGTGAGAGTGTTGCATCTGACGCCAGGTAAAAATTTGAGTTGGGGGATGAAGGAGTACACACACAATTTTGTCTGGAATAAAATCAGCTGTGCTACATTTAAAAACTTTGGCCCCTGAATTAATCACGGACTCGGCTTTTGAAAATTAGAAATAAGCGACATTTTATCCGGTGATATTTCAGGTTCCCACGGCGACGGGTATGAAGATGGCCGACTTCTGGGAGTTGCGTAATGCAGAACGGCAGAAGTTGAGAGACGTTTCTGAGGTGCGTACTTCCTCCATCAGGGTCACCTTCGACCTGGACATAATGAACAAATGTATCCGAGAATATTAAAGTAAATTCGGGTTTAACAAGTATACTGGATGAGAAGGTTTGCAGAATTTCATGCCAACTCCTCAGACCATGCACTGAATTGGAAGGAGATCGTAAGGAAGCGGTCGTGGCCTGTGCAACACCGATGATGGAAAGTGCCACGCGTCCTTCCTCAGGTCTGAAGGAACTGGCTCTAAACAGCGGAGTTCCCCGTGAAGGGAGCTTCAGCTTAGGAAGATCCCAGGGCATCCGACCTCACCAACACTAACACTTACCTCGCGCGTGATAAGCAGCGTACCACCTCGTTTAGCTCGAGTCCAGCTGTGTGACTATTCAGTTCATAAGTTCCTGGAACAACCGCTTTTGAGTACGTTCAACCAAACAGAGCTACGGCGAGTACACAAGAGGAAATAGCATAACGCAACGTAACGCAACAGCTGCACGTTAATGAAGCCTCGTCTTGGCGTTGGAAATATTTAAAAGAAACGAGCAGCCCACAAAGCATGATTTTAGACTATCTGACGGCCCTAACCTCAAAACACAAAACGTGCTTGAAGTAACCAAAAAATATACCAGTTTCTAAAGCCCATTGTGTTGACACTGTTTAAAGTTACCTCCTCCAGTCATCCATTTAATGTAAGGCCAATTTATTCGCCAGAAATACTTCTAGATCGCTGTTTATGTAAAAATTCTGAATATGAGTATGAAGAGAGGCTTACTTTAGAAAGCTAAAATCACAGTTCAGATTCTCACCGCACTGACCACATCGATTTTGGTTTTCTGAACTGTGGCGCCCTCTTGCCTCGCTGGTAGTTATCAACGTTTCGAAGAAACATATCGCTTCCATCATCAGATACAATTCCCATTTTAACCCAAAAATTCTAATGCTGGCAGTTGAAGGGATAAAATGCACGTGCGGGCCTACAAAAGTATTTACAGAAGTCCGGTGGATCGTTCAACCCGCTGTAAGCCATGGGTAATATTTTTAAATACTCTGAAGTCAGTTTTTTTAAACTTCCGACCAATATCTAATCCGTTAGACAAGAATGTATTTGGCCAGACTCAGCGTAACGAATATGAAAAGAAACTTGTCACATTCTTTCTACAATCCTCTAGTTTATGAAGCTGTAAGTCGTAATGCTAGAGTTACACGATTTTCAGGTCGTGGGGACAACAAGATAAAGTTGTTCGATTCAAGATGCAGACCAATTAGCTTTTCTAAATCTTAAATACGACTTGGCCCTACCAGTATAATTCTCTGCAGACAGCTGTCTGTGTCTGAATTAACCGGTTCCGTTAATATTTAGAGGCAAGCTGAGATAACCTTCCCATCAATTCATCATTCTACTTGCTTGTACAAGTACACTAAATGTCTCTTACATAATTTGTCCAGCGATAACACTGTTCTTACAAAGCCACCCAGTTTTCTTAACTTATTGCGTTAATACTAATGAAAGACGTGGGTAGAAATCATGAAGATACCTCAAAACTGTGTCAATATATCCGACTAATCCAGTTCAGATCTGTATCTGTTCGCGTGCTGATTTAAGAGCCCCCCGGCCGATCACAAAGGAAGCAAAACACATGCATACAAGAAACAAAAGACTGAATCAAAGCAAAGCATGTCATTTGCCACACGACACAAATCAGCGTTGTAACAGGTAAGAAAGGAACAGGCATTAAGTACATTTTACGTCCGTAATCAGTAATTTAATTCAATCATTCGTTTTAATAACAGTCAGTAAATGACTGGCTACGGTCTCTGCAATCCGGGTTCGATTCCTCTCTTATGCACCAACTCTGGCCTCGCCCCTAATCTCCCACAGAATCGATTTCTGCCACAGGTTAAAGCAGTCAGAACACGAATCTCGGAACCATCAGTTCGTGGCTATTTTACTGTAAATCACTAAACGCCTCCATTTGTGGCGCTTGGGAGAAGAGGGAACTATCATTGACAAACGAACAGAAGGAGAGAAATTATTCTATGGCCTAACTGAGAGAGCTCAGTTTTTGTTCGGAATCTCGGGTGTCTGTCCAACCTTAAAACTCGGCAGATTCCCTCGTATCAGAAAGCAATTTCGGAATCTCGGGTGTCTGTCCAACCTCAAAACTCGGTAGATTCCCTTGTATCAGAAACCAAGCAGTGGAAAGTTCCACGTTCATTTTCCTACTTGTCTAGTGATCAGTTGCTCCAGAAGATGGTTCACCGTTCCGGATTCAAATCCGTGGCCGATGGAATGTCATAACGCTGTCAAGTCTCGTGACATCTGTGTACCAAGCTGCGTTGGCTTCAAAACCAAATTATTACCACCGCCGCTACTCTTTGGTCATAATTTAAAACTGTTGTAGTTGCCGTCTCTTAATACGCAATCTTTCTCTTTTCTGACAATACTTATCGTATCCGACTACTCTGTAATGCCTCTCATGTGTGAGTAACTTATTCTAACTGCTGAGCGTGTTACGTTACGTTTAGTAGTACGTGAGCCCCCAACCCTAAACTACAGAGTCAGGGTTTGCTGGCCGAATCTTAACACCTCAGGGGTCCGAAGTTCTTCAGCCTGAGACGAGAGAATACACAGCCGACCGTTTTACTGTATAATTAAGAGCACTAAATCGTTTCACGGCGGTGTTGGGAGGAATCGCCCCCACTGGAACGCAGGACGTGACTAGGATACGAGACAGAGTAGCCCCCTCCCCCCCTCTCTCTCTCTCTTCGTCCGTCCATCTTTACATCTGTCTGTCTGTCTGTCTGCTTGGTCTGGCCGGACGGCCAGCGAAAACTAGTTGAAGCAGTTCGCTGCTTGGTCAAACGAACGGCATGGAAAATCGACCAAGTCGTCGACATGTGGACACATTCTGATTGCAAGGCGATACGATCTTTTACACCACGAGATTAATTTGAGCTGTTGGGCCGCAGTTAAGTGTTAATGGGACCAAGACGAAGGGAAAGGTTCGGCCCTTTGGTTTCGCAGACAAATTATTCTACGTGTAAACGAGACATCGCTCTTCTAGAACACAAATCTGCCTCCAGAAGCTCATGCGTAGCTTATTTAACGACGACGCACCAACTATCTCCATGTGGCAGATCGCAATCGTCGCTCAACCAGAAAATAATCTGACAGCAACCTGTGGATCACGCGGCTTCACGACCGTGCTTGCAACAGTCCGCCACTGGCCCCTAAGTCAAACGAATTCAAGCCACACCCTCCCACCCTATTCTCTTACGATGACATTTAATATTATCCTCCCATGTACACACAGGTCTCGGCCCTTCAGGCTTCCAAACAAAAATTTTGCAGGTATTTGTCTTGTCCACACAGCGCTCCAAACTCATTCTCCTTGGTTTGTTCAAGCTAACATTTGGTGAAGGTTGCAATTTGTGGAGTTCCTAATTATGAAGTCCTCCTGTCACCTCATCTCTGTCGAAATCTTGTCCTAAGCACCCCGAAATTATCAGAATAAGAAGCAAAGGGCTTTTTGGACAGGGTTCTTCTGCATATTCATTGGCAGTCCAGTGGGCCCAAATAGAAATGCACGTGTATAAAATTTCGGTGACGTCCCGATCTGTGTTCGAGAAATGTTCAATCCAACTTCCTCTCACCTCAAAGCCTGCAAAACCGCGTGACACATTTCCAGCTGAATGCTCGGCGTAGGCTCATCGTGCATTACCGAGAGATGAACGCGGGTTACCTCGGAGGCAGCGCGGCCATGACTTGGCTGAGTCGACGGACAAACGAGACACGTGACCGAGGAACGACAAAACTTGATGGATAAGGTTGGCGAGATGAATTAGTTTCTGACAAAGGAAGGGCGCAAAGCGTACGGTTATTCTGTTGGCCTGTATCCAGATTGTGTTCGCTGATCGGGGCAACGTTTCGGAAGTTGGTGGTTCTAGGTTCGTCCTCAGGTACGAGGGAAAAACCACGGCTTTCAAGGTTACTTCGTATACATCGATGACTCGGCTCAACAGACTCCGGTTTTGCAATCCAACCTGAAAACGGAAGTTCAAGTGTTTCCGAATGCAGGCCATTTCAACAGCGCCGTGTGTTCTGAAAGTCTAATTACTTTGTGAATATGAAACGTCACTATATGAGTGTATTACGCTAGTTACTAGCAGTAAAAATGTAAGAACTTCGCCAAGTCACAAGAAAATCTCAAAATTTTTGTCTCTTTAACGCCTCCACTTTTTAACGATTCCGTGTGCATAATTCAATAACAGTTGATGAAGTCGAGTTCTGTAGCCAGACAGCCTGAAGTGATACGGATCCAGGTTTCAGGGGCTGCCTGTTTAACGCAATTTTAAAACTGATTAAATTACTTTGTTCTTTGTTTGTTCAGTAGATGGCTAATTAAAATGGACGTTGTATTTTTCGAGTCATGAGAATTAGGTTTGCGTCTATAAAATGACCTACTTCACGTGCCACTAAGAGAGTCTCCACGCAACGGAGTCACTGGTTCGTTTCCAGGGCCAAATACCCGTACATATGCACTTTAATAGTATTCACAAATGCGTCGTCTGAATGTTATATTTTTCTGCTGGTCGCTCCTTTAAAAATGGCGATTTATAACGATAATAATAAGTAAAGCAAAAGTACTCCAATAATTATAAGAGCAACTGCCAATTGGGCCAACATCCCGGGCGAACACATCAGGGAACTTCGAAAAATCGTCATTCTAGGAACATCGTACATCATTCGAAAGACGCTCATGTAAAATATATAATAATGCCTCACGCGAAATCTGTTAAATGCACATTCAAAAATATTATCCGCAACGCCAAAACTCTCCATAACAGTAAAGAGTCATCGACTAACCAAGCTACCAACATTTACTTATCAGGCAAAAGATATTCCAGCCCTTGAAACAGTCTTACGTCAGTCATCCATTTTAAGACGAGACACCGTCGCTTCTGAGACTGATTTTTAAGACACTTGGACTGCACTGCCATTTTA